TGGTTATGGATCGGAGGAAAGTGATGACCACAAGCCCACCCAATCTCCTACCAATAAATCGCCTAAACCTCAAACACCAAACAAAAACAAAACTGTTAAAACTGTTGCCAAATAATCTATAAGTACTGTACTTCATAAATTGTTTCTAAAGTTCATTAATTCGTGTGATATTTAATAAAGTGTATTTAACCCACAAAGATTTTTAACCCATAAATTCATGTAAATGTATCAGTTTAAGATTTATATGAAGTTTTATAATTCTTACATGTGCTTAATGTGCTATATTATAGAGACATGAGTTTTATTTTCAATAGGTTGTGCTTGTTAAAAGTGTTTCAAACTAATCACATTGTGCACTTATCTGATAAACATATCTCACAAACTAACCTTACATTCCCAGGACATGAGTCTCATAAACAGTCTGGAAATGCGATGAAATGCAACGGGAGTTCATTGCAGGCAATCGTTGACATTGGCGGCCAATACGACTATTAGGAGACATTAATGTCATAAGAAAGTCATAATATAATTGTTATTTTTATTTATCAAAAACAATTCATTAGAATAAAGCACAAGACGATTGATAAGCGATCTGAGATATAATGCACTTATTTTATAATAGCTTATATAATTGATTTTTAAACTCAAAGTCAAAGCAAGCCCTGGATATGTTCTTTGCCCTTCATTTACACAAACAGCTATTACTACAGTATTGCCAATTACTTTACAATACAGTGAAGCTCATGTATTAGAGTGGACTTCTAGAAAAAGCGGATCTACTTATCAATACTAACGATAATTAAGTTATTTGCTATTAAGTAGTATTAGACAGAGTTTGCAAATAATACAGTCAAACGCTAATAATCACAATAAATTGTTATTTGAAATATACAGTGCACTTTCCATATAGTAACTCTCCTTATAGTAAACTCTCCTTATAGTGTATACCTATAATGTTAATTGACTCCCTATACAGTGAACTTCCATATAGTGTATAATTCTATATTGTGCATGGATTTTCAACGTTTAAAGAACTGTAACTCTCTATACAGTGTATATAAATGGTAATTTCAATCAATAATATAGCGATTACTGTAACATAAACTGTAAAATGTTTAAAAATTATATATTTTCACAAAACAGTTTTAAAACATTTCAATAATAATTGGTTTCTATTAGTTATGTGTTAAAACTAAGATATGAAGAGGCCTATTCTGAAGGGTTCAATGTGATATATTAATGAAATTCATAAAAATTAAATACCATTAATTAAATATGTATTTTAGTTAACCAATAATATGAGTTTTAATTGAAATAATTTTAATAAAATATTTAATTAGTGATTAAACTATTGATTAATATTTATTTCAAATAATAAAATATCAATACTAAATACAGTATTGATTACATTCTGCATTCATGGGCACATTTAGCCTTTCAGAATTTTTCTTTTCATATATTGTGATTAAAATATCTCATGAGAAGTATGTCTATTGTTTTATTATTGAAATTGATAATCATTTTGATTAGGACAGAAATTGACTTAATATAAGATATTTAATTTAATATAAAATATAAAATTTAATTAAACTTATTGGAATCACAAATGCTATTTCTGTAGTCAACAGTTACTTTATATTAAATAATGACAATAATAGTTATTTGAAAATTTTGATCATAGAAATAGGAAGAACATACGGATATATAAATTTTTAAATCCAAATTATATTTAATTTATGATTATTTTCTTTAAAAGTAAATGATAAACTTTATTTTAATTAATAGTTTATATCACCCTATCATTTAACACAATAAAACAATTGACTTGTAAATTTAAACATTTTTTGTCATTATTCCTTATAGTGAACTCTCCATATAGTGCACGAAAATCCTCGTCACCAAGTCGTTCACTGTANCTTTATTTTAATTAATAGTTTATATCACCCTATCATTTAACACAATAAAACAATTGACTTGTAAATTTAAACATTTTTTGTCATTATTCCTTATAGTGAACTCTCCATATAGTGCACGAAAATCCTCGTCACCAAGTCGTTCACTGTATAGAACAGCGAGTTCCTTGTATTACAAATTATTACAACTAGTGATGTATAGACTAAGGTAAGCTAAGGTAAGTAAATGAGTTTATTCAACGCTAGTTATTTATACCTTTATAAGTTTTAGTCATAAACATTACAAATATACCAGGTGAAAAATATTAAAAGTTTGTTAATAATAAAATGAGCATATACTGTAATCAAGTTTAACTTATTTTATACAAATGAATGTAGTTTTAAAGGTGTGCTTTAAATGTAATAATCATCTTATGATTATAAACATTGAATCTAAAAATTGTTTGAACATTAATGTATTAGTAATTTTAAATGTCTATTAAGTTTATTATGACATAAATAACTAAGGCTATTAAAAATTTACAAGTTTATCAGGTATAAGTGATTAGACTATTAGTTTATCATCCCTATTTGTTGGTGATTTTAACTTTTGGAACTCAATGGTATAGAAAGTGCACTGTATTATATAAAAGGGTAACTAATTATATCTATTATCAAATGCATTTGCATGTATAAAACATTGTATTGCAATCGACGGGAACAATAGTGTTTAGTAACTCTTTTCATAAATTTAATGCATAATTATTGGTAAGTATTATAAGTTATTATAGTAAACATAATTAATTGATTACTACTCTCACGCTTTAAACGGGTCATAAAATTAATAACTTTTTTCCAACAAATTCTCTCAAAAATCTATTGAATGCTTTTGAGTAAGTAATGATTTTTTCGTCAGTTAAGAACAAAAAATTTTGTTGACAGCTCAGTAAGTTAACATAGTTAGCTACTATCGAAAACCAACTCAAAAGATTAAGTCCACTTTTATCAACTCAGACTCATTGGGTTTTGCTATGATTTACAGCACCTTTTCAAACATCTCTAAAGCTATTTAGAGCCAAGAATTTGATTTATAAGACAAACTCATTTTTATTTATCTTTTTTCATTTGCTTTTCATCGCGAAAGTGGTGTTGAAAATGAGAAAAGTGTGTCTTTTATGCATTTACTATATTCTCACATCAATTCTGATGCTGACTACCAGTGCCCAGAACTGGTCGATCAATAGTATAATACCTCAAGGATATGACCCCAAAAAGTCGCCCAATCCTACAGGTAATCGCGAATCAATTGATTTCATAGAATTTCCGATTTATTGTTAACTATTTTCTCATTATAAAAAATTTTTAACTTTTTTCCCGATAGGCGTAACGAATGTCAATATCAGTGTTACAGTCAATGATTTACTGGCCGTTACTGAAAGTGATTCGGTTTGTAGTGGTTTTCATTGTTTTGTTATTTTTGCACTAATTTTCAATTCAAGAATTTATAAGAATTTTATTACTTTCATAATTAATGTCTTCAAGAATTTCTAAATATATTAATAATTAATGATTGAATTTAATTTATAAATTCTTTTGTTTAAGCGAAATATGTCTTTATGTTAATTAAAAGAAAGATAGTTAAGGCTACTACACAACTTATAAATAGATTGAAAAATAGTTAGTAAATCGAAATATTTAACGCAGTTTGATAAATTAATTAATTAATCTATTACTGATTATTTGAATGACAATATATTTCTATTATTTATCACAGAATCTTTTGCCTAATTTATAGGCTATCAATTATTATACACATAAAAATCGCTAATTAATGATTAATGGTGTAATAATTATTCTTAATGTGTTTTATATTAATTCTTAATATAATTCTGCTATAAATTCTAGCATTAATTTCATTTCATTGTCATATCATAGAGTTTTCAATTGGATCTAACATTAAAGCTCAAGTGGACTGACAATCGCCTAAACCTCTACACTCCTATTGAAGAGCTAATTGAGAGCACAAACAATACAATTGATAGCATTATTCTTGACAGCAGTTATGTATCAAAATTCTGGATCCCAGACATATACTTCCAAAACGCACTGTCCGTCTCTATAGTCAACTCCGGCCTTCCCGTTCAGTATCTAGTGTTAGGACTTTATAACAATATTACATACACTGTCAGAATGAGCGGTAAATTTATATGTAAAATGGATTTACAAAATTATCCGCAAGACTATCAGTACTGCTCTTTAGAGGCCGTCAGTCGTGAGTTTTAAACACAAGATATTTACAAAAAACTTACAATACTTTCATACAATCCAATCAAATAGTCACTAGAAAATCATCGGAATTAATGATGTTTTGGGATGAGTTTGTCCACACAAATGGTTTGTATCCAAAGTTTCTCATTAGATCCACATTTACGGGCACTTGTGACAGGTCTTCATATTTGGGTGACTTCTCTTGTATGAGTGCCACACTTAAACTCGTCCGACGGGTCAGCTATTATGTGATCCGAGTGTATGCGCCCACCTTTCTCTCAGTTATCGTCACTTTTGTCGGGGTTTGTGCTATAAATATATTTTTATTAGTAAATGTATTAAATCTAATTTTATTGTTTTCACTACAGTTTTGGATACCTATCCTGGGCTGGCCCGCAAGAGTACGGGAACTGGTTTGTGATTAAATGGTTAATATTAATGAAAACTATTATACTTTTTTCAGGTGACAATCCTCGTGACACCACTGCTTAGTTTGATAACACAAGACATATCACTGAATAACGACATAAGTGTGGCCTATGTTGTGGCCATTCACTGGTGGATGATCTGGTGTCAGATATTTGTATTCCTGGCGCTCATTGAATACGCGATCGCCATAATTTGATAACACAAGACATATCACTGAATAACGATATAAGTGTGGCCTATGTTGTGGCCATTCACTGGTGGATGATCTGGTGTCAGGTATTTATATTCCTGGCGCTCATTGAATACGCGATCGCCTATAGCACCCGAGTAAAGTAGTTGCTTTTCTTCCGGTAAGCGCGGTGTGAACACCAGTCATAGGGTAGTAACGATATAGTTACGGTAATAGAGTGTCAATTGACTAGGTATGCAAGTCTTGTTATTGGCCTTCGATGTGATGAAAATGAAGGGCCATTACTTCGGAAACAGCAATTGGTTTAAGAGGTCCGGCAAAACAGTCGACAAAATACTGTACTTTTTCTTCGGGGACGTCGACTACATGAAAGACCCCTTCACCAGAAATAAAGTGGACTATTGCTCAAGAATTGTCTTCCCTTTCCTATGGATTCTCTATACACTTATCTATGTATTCGCTGCTATCTGTCCCTGGGCTGCCAATTATGATTAGGCCTAACATTCATTTATTTATTAGTTATTTATAAAAATCATTTCATTGTTTATAAGACGTTGTCATCTAGTTATTGATAATTTTTGTAATAACAATGTAATTTAGTATAAATTCATACGAAAGTGTATGTCCAATGCTTACCTCAACATTAATTACTATATTAACAGTTTTTAATGTCCAGTAGATTTATTATAAAATCTTGTACAGATATACAATTTTAGTAATAGAATTGGAATTTTAAATAAAATTTTAATAAATTATAACACATTTAATTTAATAAATATATAAATTATAAGTAATAATTTATAACAAATATCTAAAAAAGATTTGTGTATATTATTTCAAAAACATTTCAAATTATTTACACCTGTTTTTTATGTTAACATTAAAGTAATTGGGATATGTATGCAAACATTGAGCCCTTAATCTTAATCTGTATGACAACTGGTTTGTGAGCAAATGTTGGAAATTTTGAAATACTTATTTTACATAATTATTTCTATATTTTAATATTAATATTTTAAATATTTTATTAAATTAAATACTAAATACGATTATTAACTAAAAATATTATTTAAAATAATACACTTTAAAGAAATAGTGAAAAAACTTTGTCATTCATTCAAATAGTATAGAAATAAATTGAATATAGTATGGAAAGGGCTGTCGTATATAAATCATGTAAACTGAAGGGAATGGTGTGTGAGATGTATGTCCATTAAGATCATACTTCAAAGAATCATTTCTATAGTATGATTCGTCAGCTTCACATCCAATGTGGAGAGAAAGGGCTGTCGTATATAAATCATGTAAACTGAAGGGAATGGTGTGTGAGATGTATGTCCATTAAGAAGTATGAAGTTTCTTAGTAAAGATATCATACTAAGCAGTCGAAGTGTAGGTTACACCTCAGCCGGATTGGGCGCTACTAATCTCTACGGTAAGGGAGGAATCGCGCTTTGTCTGGGCACTTTCGGTCGTATGACCACAAGAGTCGGGTCATTGATGAACGTTCCCAAACACTATGAGTGGATGGGAGGGAAGGAATGGGTTCTGAGCGGTCGACACCTCTTAAATAATACAAAATTAGATGCATTTATAAAAATTCAACTATATTTTAAACACTATAACAAATCCAAATCTTAATTATATTTGTTGTAATAAGTTTAGTTTTTTAAATTTAAAAATACAATAATTAACTTAAACACTAATAAATATAATATTAAAAGTGATAATCGATTTCCATTTCTGATTCAGTTTTTGATAAATTCTGTTCAATCGAAAAGTTGGCGGAAAGGCATCCAATGGAGCGCTCGCTTATGGCATCGAATAGCGTTATATTTACCAAATAGTCGCCCTTTTATTGTATTGTAATTCACATTAAGTTTAATTATATTAATAATTAGTTACTATGTCTTAAGTACCTGAATATAAGCCTTTAAAAATCCGAAACGAAATAATACGAGTTGAATGTCAGATAAAGTGAAACTACCGGCGCTAAGCGAACAGTTCTCGTCCGACACATTGTCTTTGGTATGTTCTTTGATTATAGGGAAGTACTGGTGCCATAAATCGCACAACTCGTATGAACTTTAAATTAATACAGTACTATTAAATCTTTTAATTAATATTAATAAACTAGAAAATCTAATCAATGGCTATGTAGTACCATGATCCAACTTTAAATATACAGGGAATCCTAATTCTTGATGGCCTTTGCTTTTCAATCTTCAGTTTGAGTTTATAATCACTCATATCAATGGTCTTCAGTATATCCAGACTGACCGATATCTTGAGCGACCCTGATATTGATTTATTTTGTGACAATTAATACAACAAGTGTTAGATTATTACCTGGATATTTGATAGGGTGCGGATCTATTGTCAAGTTCTTGAATTGCATTAATTTGTCATCAATACCACAATCAGTGAAATTAAATTCCGAACATTTTATTGAACCGATTAATGTCAATACTATTATAAAAATCATTTTGTTTAATTATATCGTGTCAAATTAGTTTATTCTGAATAAATTATATTATTTATGTTCAATTTTATATAAATTTAATTTATTTTTACGTTATTAGTAAAACACATGTATTATAATTTTATAAGCACTTGTATTTTAATTTTATCCTAATATAATACTGTATTACATTTTTAAGTAATTTTTTATATTTGCGCAATAGTAACATAGTAATAGTATAATAAATATGTAACATAATTGTTATGGGGCATTATTGTTAAAATGCAATAAGGTTATCCAAATACAGGTATAATCTTGGCCCTTTTCTTGTCTCTTTTGAGTTCAACCGAGAAGTCCACGTGACTGCAGCCCAGGACCCGGTTGTTAATTGTCTCCACGAATGATATATTTGCACCAAAATCACCCTTTAATTGCAGTCATATTTATAATTATCGAGTGTTTAAACAAAGTCATGTTATAATAAATAAGTAAAAAGTATTGAATACCTCAATAATTCCGAGGAAAAAATTGAAAATTCCGAAAGTAGGTATGACTACATGTGCCCTATTATAGACATAGTGACCTGGTTTTAATGGACATTCGGGAACTGTACGGTTGGGCAGTATGTCGTAAATATCTTTCCAAAACTCGCAATAATCTAATGTACTTTCAGTTAAGAAATGAATTAATTGTTTGCGACAATAGATCTACAGTATAGTTGGTCTATAAGGCATACCACGAGCCGACACCAAACACACAGGGAATCCGTACTCGCGATGGACTCACTCTCTCGGCAGAAATTTTAGCCTTCAATGTCTCATTTGACAGGTCTTTGAGTATTTCCAAATCAATCGACATTATCACTGAACCTGCAATTCATGTATAATTAATATTTTCTAAAATTATCATTATTTATAACAGTTTTAGCAAACAATTACCCGGATATTTAATGGGATGTGGATCTACAGTGTAATTATTAATCCTTAAATATTGATCACTGGGCCCACAATCACTTGAACTGAACTCTCGGCAATTAATTAAATCGATTAAAGCAAAAATCAATAATAAAATCATTTTTTTGATAATTTTGCCTTTAATTGCGTAAAATACAAATTCTTAAACTCATTATAAATTAGTTTTGTTTTGAAATTTAGCTTTTTTGCTAAATTGGTGAATTAAAACACATTTTGGGAGCACATGTATGTATGGAAAGCTGTGTCAACTCATTCATTAGCAATATTAGGCTAATTTGCTTATTAATAGAGTTTTCATATTTTTAGCAATTATTAACTGCAGTATTATATAAAATTGCTAAATAAATAGTTTATAAATAGTTTTAATGTTTAGTAAATTTAACATTTCCAACTTTTGAAAAATATATAATAAAATAAATACAAAGTATTGAATATAACTTTGAGATGAAATAAGTTTTGGATTAACGTTTTAATCAGAAAGCCTTGAGTTCCTTATAATCCGTATATTATTTTACATGTACAATAAGTTTGAATTAAATATTTTCAAGTCATATGTGATTTACACCTGTATTTTAATCAAATGTACCCTTTTTATTACCAATACATTGCATGCAATAATTAAACTTAATCTAAATATTATTAATTAATGTTATGTTTAATTTTGAGAACATTTAATAATATTTGTATTGAAATTAATTTACAAATTAATACACTTTAAAGAAATAGTGAAAAAATTTTGTCATTCATTCAAATAGTATAGAAATAAATTGAATATAGTATAGAAAGGGCTGTCGTATATAAATCATGTAAACTGAAGGGAATGGTGTGTGAGATAATACACTTTAAAGAAATAGTGAAAAAATTTTGTCATTCATTCAAATAGTATAGAAATAAATTGAATATAGTATAGAAAGGGCTGTCGTATTTAAATCATGTAAACTGAAGGGAATGGTGTGTGAGATGTATGTCCATTAAGATCATACTTCAAAGAATCATTTCTATAGTATGATTCGTCAGCTTCACATCCAATGTGGAGTCGGCCTAACCCGCGATGATTAGAGATGCCATTCCCTCCTTAGCGCGAAACAGACCCGACTTTCGGTCTTATGATCACAAAAGTCGGGCCATTGATGAACGTTCCCAAACACTATGAGTGGATGGGAGGGAAGGAATGGGTTCTGAGCGGTCGACACCTCTTAAATAATACAAAATTAGGTGCATTTATAAATTTAATTTAGCTTTTATTAATTAAAAATTATTATTATAATATCCTTTACTATAATGGATAATATTATAATAAGTCATGATTTATAAGAGTTATAATTGAATTTCAGTACAATATTAAAAATATCAGTTCACTCACTGGTGAGTACTACAGTATGTTATAAATTATAATAAAGATTAAAGATTATATTAATCTTTAATTATATAAGATTAAAGTTTTGAGACATGAGTCTCGGCTTCAATCACTTTGTCTGCAATCAATTGTCTGATAACTCCTTCAGAATATCCGTATTTCAAAAGTATTTGTTTTGTATGCAAACAATCGGTCTCTTCGTTATCATAGGCCACGGCTTTGGCCGGAGTTCGGGACAGAATGGGCGCCGGTTTGGGCCTTCCGTTCGGGAAATACGAGTTTCGGTCGATATTATGTCTGTAGTGGTGGGCGTCTTGGAAGTCCAACACTGGGGTCACACAGGCGTCCACTTTATCAAACATTTCTGTCCACTCTTTCTGTGTTTTTGTGGCGAAAACTTTGGCAAACTTTTCAGACAATTGGTCCCAATTTTCGGTCTCATTTCTATCGCACTCCTCAATGGGAAGGCCTAACATCTCGACCAATAACTGGTAGAACTTCCACTCCTGAGCGGCCACTGCCATGAACTTGTTGTCTTGAGTCCTATAGCACCGGTAGAAGGGGGCGCCGCCGTCCAACATATTACTCATGCGTTGGTCACGTCTGGGCCACACTATGCCCCGCATAAACCAATTGTCTTCAGTGGACTCCCAGAGCCAGGAGCACAGGTATGACGTGCCTTCAGTCAGGTTGCAGTCAATCACTTGACCTTTTCCTGACTTAGTCCTCTCAAACAGCGCCAGTATTACGCCGAGCGCTGCCATCAAACCTCCGCCCCCATAGTCACCCAATACGTTAATGGGCGGCACCGGTAGGTCGCGTTTGCCTAACTTTGACAGAATACCAGTGATGGCCAAGTAGTTGATGTCATGTCCAGCTTTTTGTGACAAATACCCGGTTTGTCCGAAGCCTGATATCCGCATATAAACGAGCCGTTCGTTGGCAGCCGTTAAGACTTCGGGACCCAAACCCAGTCTCTCCATCACTCCCGGTCTGAACGTCTCGATGAGTACGTCCGCTGTCTTGCATAACCTCTTTAACACGTCTTTCCCCTCACTTTTCTTCAAATCTAAAAGAATTAGTTTTTTGCCTCTCTTTAGGTTTTCAATCTCTTTGGCGAAAGCCTTCAAAACACAATTCATGTCTTAATAATCAAACAAATATTAGCATTCAATTCATGGCTAATACCCGATCCACGCGAATCACTTCAGCCCCGAAATCGCACAATACTTGTCCACAGAAAGGTCCCGGAGCTAAGCCAACCATCTCTATCACTTTGACACCTTTCAGAGGCATTTCTCGTCTAATTAATCCAAATTCTTATGAATTGAAACTTTTTTAAATAAATTAAAGTCAACTCACAAGTAGTGCTAACACTGTCTTAATGTGAATATTAATGTGATTTTAAAGGGAAATGATATTTTGAAATAAATTGCAATCATAAAAAGATAATTTGAATATAAAAATGATTGACTTAATACTGTCTTAATAAGCAGGGGACTTTTATAAGGAAGTACTCCAGTACATAAGTTCATCATAATTATTGTTATAATGTCTTGTATTTAAATTTTGAGTTCATATACTCTCTTATATACAAAAAACTATAATAAATAATTTTAGGGAAACATTACCAAAATTATAATAAACTAAAATTCATAATTTACAATACATTTACAAATTAAAGCCTAAAATAATGACAAAAAACTAGAAAATGAGTGCAAATAATTAGCACAACCATAGGATTGCATTGAATGGCCCTATGATTGGCTCACAACAGATGGCATTAGTCTGTGGTTTGTCTCACATTTGCAGTCATCAGTGGTTTGTTTGGATGTGTTTTGAAAGTTTCAATTCATTTGACACTTAATGGCAGTCAATGAGCGATGACTTCATATAAGATAATCCGATGCGAGTCCACACACGCGATGGCCATCGATGGCACTCACATAACCTCCGCCACCGATGGCCACACATGTCATGACCACCACTACCGGCGCGACTCCTTTGATGACCGCATTTGCGACGACTTATGCGAAGACTTATTGTCTTATTTGCCGATTGAGGACAAGATTCGTATGCAATGTGTGTCCAAACGGTTCCGACGACTCCTTCACCGACGACAATACGATCTGATAGTAAGCCGACAAACACTGGGACACAGATATCGTCGAGTATTTGACGTCAAGACATTCGAGTCGCTGCTCAAGAGGTTTCCGTTAATCACATTCATTAGTGTGGATCTGATTGGCCATCAATCCGGTGACCAATTGATTGGATTGATTATCAAATACTGTAAGCATTTGAAGGCAATTCACATGAACTTCTTTGACAAACAACACGTCGACAACAGAACTGAATACAGACTTCTCGTCAAAGAGGAGACGCTGAAGAGGTTTTTCGAGCGATTCAGTCGACAGTTGCGGCGGATTGTGGTCTTCGAGAACTTCGTCCATATCCTCAACGTTTGCCACAACTTATATGAACTCAATCTCACGAACAGTTACTACAGTTTTGTTTGTCTCCGATCCGCGTTCACTGAAGACACCATCGATGCCATGCGATGTGTCCGTAGATTGAAGTTTAACTACAACTCGACCACAGATTACCCGCTGTTTGCGCTGTTTGTTGATAATAACCGCAACAGTTTGGTGTCCATTGAGTGCAATGAGACCATTGACAGCGAGGATAATACAAGACTTTTGTGTCAAATCTCACGTTTAGTTAGTTTACGAAAATTGAAACTTCATTTGCATTGCCATCAGATCTACCACTCGTTGCGAATGATTGCCAAAAATTGTCGCCATTTGTCTCAATTGGAGATCAGTTTCTACTCGAGTGACAGATATCTGCCATTTATGGTGCAGAACGACGTCCTAAACGCCATCAAACACTTCAGACGTCTACAGAAGTTTGCGTTTCATTTCATAGAGTGCTGTGAATCAGACTTTTTGAACGTATGCCTCAATAAGTGTGGAAATGTGACTGATTTGAGTCTCTACTCAATCAATGAGATCAATGACAAGTTCTTTGTGGACATTGACACACATTTGCCAAACTTAAGACATTTGAAAGTCATAAACGCCGACATCTCTGACGCGGCACTCAATTGGTTATCAAAACTCTCAAAACTAGAAACCATTAGTTTGTTTAATCTGTCGGATGGGTCCACAATCAGTGAGTCCAGTGTCTGGAGCATTGTGGACAACTGTCCCAAAATCAGTTCAATTAAACTGTTTTTCTCATCACTGCCTGTCGGGCCATCCAATCATCAAATCGATGCCAGAATTCGTGGCAAATATTCACAAATCAATTCATTTCAATGACTTTCCTTTGCAACCCATAAATCATTGCTTATATTCTTAATTATAATAATTATTCAATAGAAATGACAATAATCTTAAATTATGTTCGCATACAGTGTATCAAATTTGATGATATAATCAAAACGAAAATAATTGTGATTACTTTTAGTCGTGAAGTAGTCATTTGATTGCTGCTTGAATTTACAGCACTTTTTGCAATATCTATATTATTTTATTAAATTGTGAAATATATTAAATATATAAATTTTTATAGTTGAATGGCTATCCATTTAGGACACTATTTAGTGGACATTTATTCTTAGCCCTTATTGACCCCCAAAATAGATTATAAATAGATTATACCGGTAATATATATTTGAAGTGCATATAGTTTTTACAGTTTTATCATAATTAATTGACTAAATTACTGTCATTTGAAACGCAAAGTTTTAAATTGTTATATTTTTAACTAAGATTTTACTAATTTTAAATTTTAATTAAATAACTTTTGTTATTATAAATAGAATCAAGTATTGAACAAAAAACTTGTTGTGTTTGAAGGAAATGTAGAAAAAATAGTTTTTATTAGAAAATAAAATATATAAATAAAGCGTTTGTTTAATTATAATGAGTGTAAGTTTTGTTTTCATTTTTTGCGATACGATTTTAAACAATAAAAACTACATTTAAATTAAAAAATATTATGATTTTGTATAATAGTTAAGTGGAAATTAATGCCATCGACCTGTTATACAGTATACCTGTGCAGTCAGAGTACCGGAGCACTGGTCTGAGACAGACATACAGCCAACTACTAGAAGGAAAAACTGGTGCAAAACAAATGAAAGTTATATAATATTTTGTTTAATCATTTTATAATAGATTCACTCGAGTTTAACGCATATTAGTTATGCTCTCCTTATAACCCCGTATTTAACATTGCATTCAAAAGTGTAATTCATTTGAATTTTCTCTTTCTTTTCGTATTGCAAACCAAAACTCAAATTTTGTGTCTCATATATGAAAACTTTTAATGTAAGAGTGTCTGTAGTTTTTATGGGACAAATATTTTTGTGAATAATATTTAATATGAGATATAATGTGTTAACTAATCGTTAGGTCAGTTAAAATTGTAATCAAATGTTAATTTAATTTTATTTTAAGATATTTTGTCGTTTCCTTTGAATCGATAATTAAATCAGTTTTTAATAATTTTTTTATATCTATTTTTTCTCATATTTTTTCAAAATATCGATTCAAAAATCTATTATTAGCTAAATACTATATAAATTGAATGAAATTTATACTAAAGTGATTTTATACATTGCAATAATATTTACCGCATTTTATATAATTATAATCAACATATTTCCAAGAAATGGCTGAAATTAAATATACATTTAAATGAATTTAAAACTAAAATTTTCTCTCTTGAGTCAAAGGAAATGATTGATTAGTATTGAGTGAAATTATTAATAGTCGAGTGATTTAATGCAATACATATACCTATAACTTATAGGCTATAAGCCATTCAATTCATGTAAATTCAATGAAAATGGATTTACTCTCAAAATCCTTGACCGAAACGTTTTCTTAAAACAATTTAGCATTTCTTTAGCAAACAGTGTATGAATTCATGTGTTGAGGAAAATCTAAAATCTAAAACTAAGGGCTCATATAATGGTATGAAATGTATTATAGCTATTAAAATGAGACAATTTTCTAGAATAACACCTCTTATTAATTTTCAATCAATTACTTCAGACGTCAGACCATTATTTCTCATTCAAAATCTTCTTTGTTTGTGTGGAAACTCTTACAATAAGTTGTTTCAGTAAATGATATGAATATGAAAATGAGTTTTAGTGCGAATGTCGAGAAAAGATATGTTTGCAAAAAATAATTTCGCTATATTTAAGTCACTATTACTTAATGAACGCACAAATCTTATTATTCATAAAATTCATGTTTTGATGTGTTTTTTGGGAAATTTCTATGAATTATATTTCATGAAAACAATTCTCGATCTTAAGTATTCTTATAACGGATCACTTGTTTTGCGATTGAATGCTGTTTTCTCCTCAAAAAACTACTGGTAATTGCATTCCTAACGACACTTTTGACATTGAAATGATATCCAACTCTTTTTTCTTATTCTTCTTCTTTTAGTACTTCCACTCCATTCCATCAAAATTATCTCCGAGTGTCTAATAAGTGGAAGTTAAGGGCCTCGGGGTATGACTCATATACTGGATATACATATAGTCTAATGGTGTGTATTGCACAAGTGTTTGCCTTTCACTGACACTTATTGGCAAAACATTTCCAGAGATTTGGTGTACAGAAGCCATTAGACGAGTATTGATATTAAAAGGAAAAAAGTCCCCAATTTTATATGCAAAGGGAAATGTAGTTCACTTTCATTGGAAACATTAAAAATCCCAATTCCTTGTAAAACAATACTTATAATTACTTGTATATGAAGCAATTTACTACTAATTATAGTAAATTAACTATCTTCTTTTCATTAATTAATGTTCTGAACTTGGTAAATAAGTAGAAACTTATTTTTGTTTTAATAAATATCAGTTAAAAATAAAATATTAATTATAAATTAGTATGTTTATTATGAATTTTTCTATTATAATTGCTGACAATTTCTTCAAAATAAGTTATAAATCCTTCAAATTAATTAAATTAGGAAATACTGAGAATAATATCAAATGAAATAATTTCAATTTCCGATTGTAGACAATCAATAATTTAAATTTTGTAGTCAAAATTTAATAATTATTTATTTATTCATAGTATTCTATTCAATTTAAAAACAGGTCATTATTAAATTCATACAATTTATCATAATAGTAATAATAAAAATACAATTTAGCATTACTTTTTCAGTCAATCGTAAATTCAAAGCACATTTTAAATAGTATTGAAAATTACACTTTTTCCACAAATTAATTAATGCTTTTGAATATATAAGTGACAGATTTCCACAAGTTATGAAATAAGTTTAAATTATTAGTAGAATTTTTCCGATAAAATTATGAAATTCATTCAAAACATTTTCGCGATAATATATTAAAAATAAATTTTATTGCATAACCTTTGGTCTAAAACTTTAGATTTTTAAGCAACTCTTATATATTTCACATTTAATTGCAATATTTATATTAAATATTATAAATTCTACTAATAATTGCTATATACATCTACAATTTACTTAAAACTACTTGTTACAACTAATTAAATATAAATTATGATTATTTGAAACTTTTTTTTTATAAACAATTCTTTTAAATTCAATTAAAGATAAGAATAAATTGAAAGAAGAAAAACAAAGTGAAGATAAAGTGATTATTAATAAACGTATGATTTATTAGAAAATAGTTATTTATAAAAAAAAATATAATTTTGTGTATGAATGCAAAATACGTTGATTGAGAAGTGAGGTATCACTTGAAAAAAGATCACTTTTTCCCCCAAACGTAATGACGTTAGACATGAGAGACTAAAACTAGTTGTTAAGACAATCTATGTTTTCAGGTATTAATGAATTTATATTTTTAGTGCAATAGGTTTTATAGCCTCGATATATACAGTATATATGAGGTGCGACAACAAGTTGTGCAAGTCTTACAAACCAGTGAGTGATACCATACCTGTGCATACCTGCCCCCCTCACACACTCACTACATACTGTGTATTATTTTTATTATTATAGAAAGTCGTGTGATTTCGTGCGAAATAATCCAAGGATTGTGACCACAAAACAACTCAACGATATCCATACACAAGCAAACGCTTGACTCATTGCGCTCCCAGTCCTCCAACTATAAAGATCTCTGACTTTCCTTTTTGTTTGGCAGAAGTCGACAGAAAGCGATGAAATACTTATTGATTGGAATCGCTTTCTTAGCGCTCGGTATGTATTCACTTGTTTTGCTATGTTTTGCATCTAGCTTATATTTTTAATACTTTATTCATTTAATAGTTTAAAATTTAAAAGTTTAATAATAATTTTTATAAGATTTTATAACATTTAATTTATACAATTTCAATTAATTGATTTGATTTGGATTAATTGGCAAATTTTCCTATTTTGAGAAAACTTTATAAAACTTTACTATAATATAGAAAGTGTTATGTTGTTATATGCTATTTGAATATTTTAGAAAGTTTTCAGTATAATTAATAATATTCATGAATTATTTTTGAATTGTTAATTGAGTGAAAGCTTAAAATAAATTTTAATTATAGATCTGTGGTGTGAATTCAGTTCACTATTACTTTCAATAGAAAATAAACAAATTCTTTATTTAAAGAACAAGATTTTGAGTTCAATTATAAATCAAGTGATAAAATAAATAAAACGCAAACTTGTTATGAATTTTTCACGAAAAATGTATTTGTATTTAACCTTAAAGTGTACGTATAGTTAGAAAAACAGTTTTCACGCAATTATTAATTCAATTTGAAAGTATAAATTTAAAGTAAAAGTTATTTTAAGATCTCGTATTATGAGACACACATTCATAACAAATATTAGTTTTTACTTTTCACTCTATAAATGATCTTATCTTTTGGTTTCGCTGGAAATAACCAAAAACATAGCGTTTTTGTCTCGCAAATCAATATAAATATATTATAGAAAATTTAATTTTACTGTTTTAGTGACAGAATTGTGTTAACTTTTATCCGTGTCTTATATCAAATGTATTTATTGTTTATTTAAAAAGCAAACTCTTTTTTGCACTGAAATTGTTTCATAACTGGAACAATGACATGACATTCGTGTTAACCATATCTTGTTTTTAATCGCTTTTTTCATTTTCTATAATATTATGACTCAATTATTATTATATACAGTAATACACTACTTTATATTACTTAAGAAAATGCATTAAATAAAAGGGAAAATGTTTAATTTAATTTATTGTATTTAAATAATTATAGCCTTTGAAGCGAAATGTCTATAAGATTTAATGTTTGACTATTTTCTATTGTCGTATTAATGATTGTAAAAATGTGTTGATTTCTGTTTTCAGTCGCTATTGTGAGGGCCCAGAGCTCGTGCCACCTCCGGGAGCTGGACTTATGTCTCGCCTCAGGCCTGGCCTCGGGTCAGAACCTGCCGAGTAAGTCATCACTCGTTTATACATTACTTACCCAACAATCTTGACTCTAATCTCAATTTCTCTAACTTTCTATTTATACTAACATTCACTTATACCATACTAACCTATACTTGTGAGAAAGTTTTTCAAGTTGTGACAAACTTTCTAATAATGACTTACTTTCACGAATATCTGTCCGACCACCACAGCCACCATCGCTGAGATCAACAAACAGTGTAATGGATTCAAAGAGATGAACGAATGTATCGGCAATTATTCGCGTCGGTGTTCAACGAAAGCCATGCGAGACTTCATGCGGAGTGTCACCTCTCAGGGAGACGTCAAGTCATGGTATTCAGAGTTCTGTACAAAAGACAGTTCCGAGGAAAGGGAGAAATTCCTGAAACACTCGACGTGTCTGAACACCGCCCAAAAGGAGTCCCGAAGCTGTACCAGGGATTTGACAGTAGCTCTCGACAAAGCTATCAATTCAGACATTGAGAACAGAATTCCCGGTCAGTTATCCATGAAATGAAAATCACTAAAAGTGATGAAACAATTTGTTTGACATTTGTGTATATTTTGGTGCAATTCAGAGATGTGTTGTGCGGTCCGTCGGATGCGAAAGTGTTCGTCGGATATCATTGAAGGCAAGTGTGGGAAGGAAGGCATGAAATACATGGGACAGATGCTCCAGTCGGTCGCCGGCACCCGCATACCCGAGATCGCCTGCCGCGACTACGACCCCACCTCCCAGAAGTGTGTCTCCATACTGCCGGCCCCGGGAACCAAACCCGGCAACACCAAATCCAATTCAGTGTTGTCTCGTCTCCTCAATACCTATTCAGCCCTTTAAGGCACCCCACGATCCAAGAGTTTTAAAGAGTTTTTTGTGACTACTTTCCCACCGGAATAGTAGTGTATTTCCAAATACAATGCGCGCGCTATCATTATTGTCTAATTATTACGAAACGCCATTTCATACAAACCACTATTTTATTAAATTTATTTACAAAATAAAATAAAAAAAAGTTTTTTCTTTGAATCCGTGTCTCATTTGGGTTGGAAAAGTGTGTCAAATGTTTGTACTTTTTGTCGACATTTGATTTTTGTGTGAAAAACATATTTTCGTTTACTTTCGAGTTTACGAATAGTGTGTTAACTATCGCTTTCATGCGATCCAAGGATTTGATACTTTGGTGATAAGACATTATATAAATGTTTGTCAACTTTTTTATGAACAGGTTTTCAGACAATGAGTAAACAAATTCAGATGATTTGTGCGAAGTTTTGCAGTTTTTAGGGAACAAGTTTTCAAATACATTTAACTCTGAGTTTAATTTTAGAAACTTTTATACAATTACGATAATAAGTATGAATGAGAAATGTTTATTAATGAAGTACAACATTAGAGAATAAGTAACAAAATAATAAGAATAACTAAAATTCCGATCAAAATGAAAATTGTAAATATTAAAAGTAGTTTAGTTCAGATATATGAACGGATCCATGCATTCCTCGACATCAAAGACAGACAACGGTTTAAGGATTATATGTTGGCTCTGGATGAGCTCTGGAAATAGTGTCTAGAAGTGAAAGGGAGGACCGGGAGTAGTGATACTGAGAATCAGGCGGTGTCTGAATTGGTCGAAGAGATGCGATTTGAGAAAAGAAATTTTCACCGATTTTTTACACAAATCTCTTTTCTAGTCAAATGTCTGGAACTGATTTGCGGTGACTCTGAGCGACAATCGTCTGATTTTGTGTATATATTCGGTGAAGACATTTGTCTGAAAAAATTGAAGAGTCGCTTACGAGTACTTCAATGAATGCAACGATAGGTTGACTGATAGACTCAATCAACTCATGATTGATGGTTAGATTCAATGTTTGGCTAATACTTTATGCCTTAAACATCTCAATGAGTGATGTTTTTTGACAATTATTTTTGACCAAAACTTTTCTGATTTTGATAATAAATTCTTGGAATACTTTTATTTAACAAATCTCACGAAGCATACAATTATTTTTAAATACTGTAATTTACAATTTTACCTCATTGATATTTTATTGAATCATTAAATTGATTGTCATAATTGACTAATTTATTATACAAAATAATTTAAAACAACATAAAAATAATAAAACGTTTTGAATGAAATCAAAATCGTTGACCACAAATGAATACTAACTTACGGTAAATGTTTGAAAAACTTAATTTTATTGACAAATACATTGACAGGATTGTGGAATATTACAACTAATCTAAGAATTAAATTATAATAAATCTGTGATCGAAATAAATCTCAATAAATAATAACCGGTAAACTAACTACAGTAATAGTTTTAAAAATAAATACATCATTAATTAAAATAATAAGTTCATAACAAATTGACAAACGAATTGGCAGTGTTTGACAACTATATGAAGTGAACTGGACTAAAACATTGAGTTCTTAATCAATGAAACAAATAATTTAATTCAACAAAATAGTGTTAACTATTTCCGGCCACTGATTGTTTGCTATCATTAACTGTATTCACATTATTAGCACTACTTTGAGGCCTCCTTTTGCTGATACACATCAACAGAATAATTGCCGGCAAATGAATCAATGAATAAAAGAATAGTTTTCGCGAAGACTTGGCGTCGGGATTGGCCCGGAATTTGTAGGACAGGTATATGAGGTAGAGGTTGATGGGGAGGGAGTCGATGCCAAAGGTCCAGGTGGTAAGGGTTGTGCACATAATAGTGCTGTACAAGAGTATAAGACACGAATGCCGGAGCGCTGTATTGATACAGAGCTTGGGTTCAGTGACAGACATCATGCGAAAGCCAGCCCTCGCGTACTCGTGACGCATATTCCAGGACAAGGCGTTGAAGTGCGGGAATTGCCACGAATACAGCACCAGACCCATCAGTACGGCCGACATGTCTGTCCAAACAATCACATCATTATAATGACCACAAAAAAAGTTAAGCTCTTTCTGGTAAATACCGATGCAATTGGTGGCGGCCGTGAAGCCCATGATGGGAGGTATGGCGCCCACCACTGCGCCCACCCATGTGTTGGCGATGTGCGCCCTCTTCATCGGCGTGTATATGAATGAATAGAGGATCAGATTGGATGCGCCCAACACTGCCGTCAATGGGTTCACGTACGACAGCAACGCCAGGCCTGTCAGTCCCGACACCCCCGCGAAGCCCATGGCATGGAGTCCACTGATTCGGCCCAAAACGAGCGGTCGGTTCTGCGTCCTCTTCATCTGCGAATCAAACGGTATTTCCAGGTATTGGTTGATAGCTGTGGCCGATCCGGACGTCAGACCCGTTCCCACCAGAGTTGCCGTCAGTATTAAGGGGTCTATCGGTGTCTGAAGACCCATATAATAGCCGGATAATGTGGTCAACACTACCAGACCTGTTAAAGTGATAACCATCAGTGATAATAATCAGTGATAACCCATAAAAGCAATCAAATGTCTCATTTACCGGTCAGCCGCAGTTTAGCTAATTGTGTGTAATATTTAACTAATGTCTGAGCGTTTAGTTTGTCGATAGGTTTCCACTCATGGCTTGTGTCCAACAAATGGGTGTCTTTGTGGTCGGCATTCACTTTCATCTCATCATCAGTCCTATGGTTTGGCTTATCATCGACTGGATGGTCGGGTTGTGGACTGATTTGTTGACTATTGTAGAAGACATCATACATTTGATCCCATTTGGGGCTAAAGAGTAGCAAATTATTGCTGGCATTCAACTGATGGATCTGTTGGGTGGACAGCAAGTGGTGATTGTCTTCTCGCTTGGCGTTTGTGGCCATAAGACGGACGCAATCATTGGTCTCATAATGTATTGCATGGAGTGATGCCTTTGGCTGTGATTTGCACACAATTTCACTGTAATTCTTGTCACTCGTGAGACACGTGTTGATGTGAGCGTAAACTGCCATCACTTGGGAATAACTTCGATGCCTTTGTTTGCATATATTCATCATAATTATAGCCATTTGTGATATAAGTCATTATTATTGTGATAAAAATGTGTGATAATCAAGAAAATTATACTCCGATTAGAGCCAAAGGAAAGGCTCTTACATATGAAGAAAGAAAATTAGATATTCGGTCATTTGACCTACAAATACAAACACGTTATTTATAGATGGAAGCATTTTTAGGTTAGGTTAGGTTAAGTAAGGAATTCAAAAATCACGTTTAAAATATATTCGTCCTTAAATAACCTAGATATTTAGACGTACTTTATGTTTTTTTTGAAAAAGTATATTTTTCGTTCCTGAGTTGAATGAGGGTAAAAGTCCAATTTTGAAGATTTGTAGGTCAAATGTCCCGTAGGTCAAATGACCCAAGACCGAAAATTAGTTAAAACTAATTATAATATATTAAGACAACAAATGATAAATAAGGAAAGAATAGAGCCAATGAGAATAATAAATGAATTAAGAATACAATTTGGGTGCAGTGAATCGTCAATTAGGAGAATAATGAAACTAAGTATTAATAAGTTTTTGGGTTTTTTCAATGCTAATAACAAATAACACAAATTAATATAGAATTTAATTTTTTATAGGGCCGGTTGTAGGCCACCAAAAACTACAAAAAAGAGGTCAAAGAAATTTACATTCAATAATAATGACATCACTATTATTGATAATATTATTAATTTTTATGACAACAAAACTGTGCCAACAAAAATTGATTTATTTCATTATATTATGGATAATAATATTAACTTTNATTGCGTCCGTCTTATGGCCACAAACGCCAAGCGAGAAGACAATCACCACTTGCTGTCCACCCAACAGATCCATCAGTTGAATGCCAGCAATAATTTGCTACTCTTTAGCCCCAAATGGGATCAAATGTATGATGTCTTCTACAATAGTCAACAAATCAGTCCACAACCCGACCATCCAGTCGATGATAAGCCAAACCATAGGACTGATGATGAGATGAAAGTGAATGCCGACCACAAAGACACCCATTTGTTGGACACAAGCCATGAGTGGAAACCTATCGACAAACTAAACGCTCAGACATTAGTTAAATATTACACACAATTAGCTAAACTAAGACTAACCGGTAAATCAAACATTTGATTGCTTTTAGAGGTTATCACTGATTATTATCACTGATGGTTATCACTTTAACAGGTCTGGTAGTGTTGACCACATTGTCCGGCTATTATATGGGTCTTCAGACACCGATAGACCCCTTAATACTGACGGCAACTCTGGTGGGAACGGGTCTGACGTCCGGATCGGCCACAGCTATCAACCAATACCTGGAAATACCGTTTGATTCGCAGATGAAGAGGACGCAGAACCGACCGCTGGTTTTGGGCCGAATCAGTGGACTCCATGCCATGGGCTTCGCGGGGGTGTCGGGGCTGACAGGCCTGGCGTTGCTGTCGTACGTGAACCCATTGACGGCAGTGTTGGGCGCATCCAATCTGATCCTCTATTCATTCATATACACGCCGATGAAGAGGGCGCACATCGCCAACACATGGGTGGGCGCAGTGGTGGGCGCCATACCTCCCATCATGGGCTTCACGGCCGCCACCAATTGCATCGGTATTTACCAGAAAGAGCTTAAC